TGTAAAAGTGAAGGAACAACCATAAACCATTGTGAATGATTTCCAGCACGCTTCTTCCTGAATTTAATCTTGTTGGAGTCATTTTCACTCTTTTCCTCATCTCTTAAAAAACACATCATGCAAGAAAGGAAATCATGTTTGCTCTGTGGTAAACAAGTGTAACGCTGAACCATCTGATCAAAGCTGACATGACTGTTGCAGTTATGGTAATCATTTCCATGGTAACAGAAATGGACAATAAAAATACTATATGATATGGACAATAGCCCAAACGTGCAATTGAACTTGCGACAAGGCTGCAAATAGTGCTGCACACAGCTACACAAGGCAGCAATGGAGAAAATCACCAAGTAAGAGATCTCCTATATTATCATTAAGTGTAAAAAAATTCTTTGGCAGGTTAAATTAGAAAATGGTGGACCTCTACAGTCTGGATTATTAATGTGAAACACTGCTTTGGAATGGGGAGATATTGCATTAGCCTTGGCAGACGTTTGCACTCACAGAGCGCTCCTCTGGTTTCATGTTGTTAAGGTATTAGGCCTTATTGGATTTGCAGCACATCTACAGTGTTACTGTATCATGACTCTTAGCAAAAACACTTATAAGTACAGATGGACTGGACTTGTCTCATGATTCCCTGTTGTAGCCAGGAAAGAGGAAATAATGTCAAATATGGTATTTAAAATAAGGCAGGGAATGTAGAGCAGTTTAATAAAGGATTCATGTTACACTCCACCAGCTATGCCAATGGCATGCTTTCCTGTGTGTGTTTAACAGTAAGCATTCTTGGGAGAGCATGGTACCCTTGTGCTGCAGTATATTGATGTGTCTTTGCCAACCACAGGCTTTCTGTTTAAGACAAATCTGAAGGAGTAAATAAACCCAGTGAGACAACACCACTGACCTACAGTTTACTCCCCAGCTGTGCATATTCCCATTCAACTTCTATTTACCAATATTTAGTCATGGACTGATTCATAGTATTATGGATTATCAGTAGCAGACAGCTGTCTCTGCTGCAGTTCATCTGAACTGTGAACTCTGACCCCCATTGAGGAAGCTGTAATCTCATACAGCTTCCTCCTGCAGTGGCCATGGTAACGGTTACCAGGGCTGCAGACAGGAACTGGCCAATAGGTGTTGAATGTTCCAGCATTGAAGGAGGTTCTTATTGGCCATTTTGTCATTGTATTATTGTGGCTGTAAAAGGAGAATTCATACTGTGTAATGTAATTGGGTAACATGTCTGAATATCACTGTGTCCATGTCTATAGCTAGATTGTAAATTATAAGGCCATAACATAGTGGGGTCTTGAATAGAGTCAACTGTAAAGAAACTAGAAGGGTAATGACACCTATAGATACATAGATGGCAAAACCTCAAAAGGACACCGCAATTCCAAAGCAGATACGTTTTTTTAGATAAATGATTGAGTGTCTCCAGCATAATGCTTGACTTCACAAAATAACTTTTGCTATTCATTTAAAAAGGTACCTGCATAAGAAAAATAGTATAGTTTTCATTTGTGTGTGTATATGTACTGTTGCAGTTTTTTTGAGTTTTTGGCACATATATATGTATATTTGATAATACAGTAATGACTATGAAGTACTTGTATGATAATAATGACTACCTAGTATTCATATGACAATGCTTTGCTTACTACTGAGTAATGATGCAGTACTAACTGCTGAGCACTCAATGTGATAATACAGTAATAACTACTAAGTTTGCATGTGATAATATTCAAATCACTGCAAAGTATTCATTTGATCATATAAATAATAACTGCTGATTGACCTATGTGTGATAATGTAGAAACGGCTACCAAGTACTAATGCTGTAATGACTAAGGAGTACTTTTGTGATAATGCAGTCAAACAACTTAATATTTATTTGATTGTAGAAATAACCACAGAGTACTCATGTGCTACTGTATTAATAACTACTGAAAAGTCAGGTAACAATTCAGTAATAACTACTGTATACTCCTCTGATAATGCAGTAGTGACTACAGAGTACTCGACAGTGTCCTCACTGATGAAAATTGAAGTAATTAACATAATTTTATGTTATTCTACTATGAACAGAGACATAAAAAACAAAAGGACAAGATTTAGATGATGTGTAAAATATGGTCTTTCCTTTAAGCAGCAAAGTTTAAGTTCAGGAGTCTGAACCACAGCAGTCTCAAGAATATTTTTATCTATAACATTCTTCTCCAGTAATGTTGAAGCAAGCTCACTGTGGTTGATATTGGATCATTTAACAGCAGCTCTGTGCGGAATCACAACTGCAGACAGCCAGGCAACATTTCTCATGTTCCAGAAATCCTGTGGATTTCTGATTGCCTGTGAACCAGTTTGTTGATTGTTCAGGAGACGAATCAGGCATCATGAGTCACCTCAAACTGGCCATCAATGAAGTCACCTGTCAGATATGTGGCCCATGTCTAACGATTGTCTGGGGTTACCCAAGTCATGATGGGCAATCAGATGTAATCTGCACAGGCATTTTAAGAGAACCTATAGACTGAACTGTAGTAACCATGTCCTCAATCCAATTATGCAAATGTTGCAAATATTGCTACTGCTGACAATCTACAGGTCAAAGAGGAAGCTCTGACAAGACATTACATTAGAAGAAAATAACTAGTTTCTAGTTACTGACCAAACTTATTTTCCTGTCACATTTGGTCGCTGTACATTTTGACCATGTTTGAAAAACACAACACATTTTCTTTTGTCATGTTGCACAGTTTCACAATCTATTGTAAACATTCTAAACTGTACTGAGTTTCAAAGCAATGACAATATGTTAGGAGGGAAATGCTGTGGATAATAGGCAAAAAAAAAAAGAGTCCATTTTAAACCAACATTACTTTCTTTACTCCTGTGGGATATCTCATTGAGCAGATGCTGTCAGCAGTGCTGTCTTGCTTGTCTTGTCCTCTGCTGACTGCTCTCACCACAGCAGCTTTGTTGAAGCATGACGCTACAGTCTGTTTCTCAGTTCCTGTTAGAGCTGGTTATCTTTTGAGCATCTCTGTACCCAACATCCAAGGACATGTAAGTTATGTCTCAATTCGGTGGACGTGTCCCTCGGAAGCTTTGTTTGTGGACCAACTATGCCACAGCGGCGTGGCTAGACTGTCCCAATTCGAAGGCTCCTCCAAATGTGGCTACAGCAACGGAGGGTCCATTTGGTGGATCTTTTATGTGAATCCCTCTCTAATCAAGTGGTACTATTCTTTCTTATCAAATAGGCCACAACAATTGAAATTCAATTCAGCACTTTCTGAATAGAAGCAGCACAGGGATGTGTCAGCTCAACTTTCTTGTATACCTTGTACAAAAATGATTGTGTCAGCTCTCAACATAATCAATACTGTAATCCTCAGTTTCTGATCAAACAACTCCCACAGGAGCTGCAGTGGTCAGATTAGAGACTGGTGCAGTGACCATCAACTGCATATTAATACAGGCAGAACTGTAGAAATGTATCAGAGATCACAGCCCTTTGGCCATACATGGTCATGAACGGGTCACCTCATGCAAATACTTTTAGGGCTCCATATTGATAATGATTTGAGCTGGCACACACAGCTAGCGAGTGTCTGTGCAAGTTTTTGGTGTATGTAAGAATATTATGTCTGTATAGAGCGATGATAGAGTCCATTGTATGGTACAGTATAGTCAGACAGAAATAGCAGCTGACTTGTGCAGGCTCTCAGAGATAACTAAGCACTTTGTATTTGCACAAGCTAATGTTTTGCATATGTGTCCTAATGTTTTTATTGTGTGTGTTTTGCATTGAGGCCACAATTTCCTGTATCCAAAACAATTTTCTCCCAGGGGAGACAAATAAAGTAACCTTGAACCTTTATGGTCCAACATATCCCATGATTCAATTTGCTTCAGTGACAAACTCAAATGGGCAATGGCGGCAAAAAGTGTGTCGAAAACGAAGAAATCAATTTATTTTCAAATGAACGCACTCAATAGAACAACTAATGGTATACTTAATAAAAACATCTTTTCAACATTTTCGTCCGTAACTTTGCTGCTGCACATGGATGCACTGTGTGAATGTGTATGTGGATGGCAAAACTGTAGTGTAAGTGGCTTTAAGTGTTCATTAAGGCTAGAAAAGTGCTATAAAAATACAGACCATTTAGCATTTGTTTGTCTCTGTGGTCTACCCCTCCTCTAAAGCTCACTGTCAGCCTGGATTGGCTCCAGCCCCTTTGTGAGCCACTATGAATAAGTGGTATGGATAATGCAGAACTATATCTTTACTGATACCTCAAAAGAGATACCTCATACATCTGACTGATAGGCCACTTCATCACTATATTGCATATACATGTATTGACATCAGAAATAATTATTAAGATAGCACTTCTCAAAACATAGTGACAAAGTGCTTCACAAATAAAAAGGTGTATGTATAGATATACATTTATCCAGATTATTATACAGGTTCACAGTAAGATAATCTCTTTATAGGTATTAGCATGCTTTACGCATGCCTGATATTTTCATAAAGGTCTAAATATTATGCGAAAAAATTCAGTCTTCCTCACCAGGCTCTGAACAAAACTTCCACTGCCTTACACTGTCTTACGACCTTCACAGTCAGGGACTTTGACCAGATCACTAGTTGTGTGAGTTTCCAACCACTGCGAGTGAAATTCGAGTAATTAAAGGCAGAAAAACTACTTCTCATGTCGAGCTTGGGTTGGGCCATGTGGGCCTTCATCTGTACGACTGTGTGCTGATTCTTCTTTCCTCAGTGTGAAGGATAAACCTATAAGAAATAAAAAATGAAAAACCAAGACACGTCAAATGGCTTCCTGCCTCTAATATAAGTCATGTTTAACATTATACTTTTATTAGTGTTTTGTTTATCTTAAGCTTACATTATAATTGTATTCTCATGTGGTTCTGTACTTGACTTTCATTAATATTACAAACTTATTGTCTGTCTTCCTCAGATCAGTAAGCAGCAGCTGCAGACGGTCAAAGAGCGTTTCCAGTCATTCCTAAGTGGAGACACTCAGATTGTGGCTGATGAGGCCTTCATCAATGCTGTCCAGAGCTACTATGAGGTAAAGTTTGCATTAAGTTACTACTGTATACTCACAAAGCTATATTTAGTGTGGTACGAATCAGAAGCAATCTGGTATGAATCCGTTTTTTCCAAATAATTTACATTTATATTCCTTTATAAATTACAGCCTTTCATAGCCATATCTGACCTCTGTTCTCCCTGTGGAGGAAGAGAAGAATACGTTCCTGTAAAACCAATACAATTTAATGTTATTTCATCATCATTTTTATGAATATGAAATGTGTACAACCGCTTTGTTGTATCGTTTATCTAAAGGGTCTTTTGCACGATGTAAACTTTCCCTTGCAGAGCCTCATTTGTTTAAACTGAATCCGTCGAAGCAAGAAAACTAATAATAGGGTGAAGAGTATCCAAACCTCAGTGGAGATAACTTGTCTCAGCTCTGATAAATGATGCAGAACATGAACTGAGCTCCTCAGGGCAGAGTTAATAATGTGCTCCCAGATGGCCAGGATTCAGTTGGCTTGATCAATCCAGAAAGAAAGAGGGGAATAAAATGTGATGAAAGAAAAGCCAGCGTATTCCCTGTATCTCAGGCTGTTCTGCAGTGTTAATTTACAACATTCGACATACATGTACAGTATCTGCAGTGTCTCACAGTGAGTATGAAACACTTTGCAAGAAGCCAATAAAAGCAAGTCAAAGAGTAAGACCTTAGTCATGTTACTGGATTACTGTGCACAGAGTATAGTGATGTTCAGGCTGAATGTTGGATAACTGGAGTGAATTAGAGACATAGCTTGTATTTACATCATCATAGAGGTGTTGACTTTAGTTAGGAGAGTGCAGGTTTAAATGGCTAAACTGATAAGGACAATTTAATGATAAGAACATGTGTGTTTTTCAAATCTGTATGTTAATTTTGAAATACCCTCTCATACTTTGAGTCAGCTATTGAGTAAAACAGTGTTATCAACATCAACCACTTTGAAGATAATTCCATCCATTCCTTCCATTATAACATTGACCATGCTGGCTTTTTTACATTTTCATCACCTCTCATTTCTAAATTGATGATACTATTTAGTGGCACTATTAAATCATATACATTCATCATCTTCGACTCAAGAGGTAATATGAAACTCCACTTTATGTCACAGTGTCATAAAAACATGCCTTCTTGTTTATTTCAAGCTGTAAATGAGCGTCACATGTTCAGACTTATGATTTTGACAGTTCACAAATCTATTATCATACATATATTATTGTAAAATTTCTCTTTCACTGCACATGTGTTTGCTGAGGGCTGATCCAGGGACAAATGATGTAAAGGAGGAGATGACGAGATTTGAGAGGAGTGTGAGAACAGAACAAGGGAGCATGTCTGTCACTGACAAGCACTTCCTTATCAGTTAATGTGGTAGCACAGGAAACCCAGGTGAGAATGGTGTGATATTTAACAGATGAAGCTGGTGGCACAGGTTACACAATTCAATTAAAACCTAAAGATCCCAGATCGGCTTTAGCTCTGGGCTAAAACTGATGGAGGCAGACAGAGAGAGAGATTGGGGGACAGCCAGAAAGAGAAGGATAAATAAAACAGTGACAAAGGGTCAGAGAGAGCTTGGCAGTGACGGCAGCAGGTGACAGGAATTAACCTCCCATCAATAACAAGCCCATTCAGACTCCCCAATATCAGTCAACCTGCTCTTCATGCAGTAACGTTTGGTTTATTATTGAAATTCTAGCGTTTTTCTGTCTCTGAGATTTTCCTCCATAGCTTTGCTGCTGGGCGAAGTAGAGGTAATGCAATTTCGGTTTTACTTTTCACAGCTTTGAAAAATGACTTCAGAATTGACTGGTTTGATTTGACTATCAATAATTTTCAATGGAACTGCTTTCTCCTGTATAACTAGTATTTCATATGTATTTTGTGCATTATCCATAGTACCAGTACACTGTTTCAGGAAACAGATGATGCTGTTGAAGTTTTTTAATGTATTTATTCAGAGCTATAACCACCTCAAGTGAAAGTCCATTAATTACATTTATATTGGTGGTAATGCAATGTGTAGGTCTGTGTGCTTAACAAACGTGTATGCGTGTTGTGCACCTGCCTATGTAGGTGCATATATAACTATCTTGATAATGAGCCTTTAAATGATATACCACTGACCTCAAGCCATGTTCTTCTCCTTTATATTGTTCTCTCAACATAGAAAAGTGCCAACAATGCGTCTGACCACACTTGACTGCAAGGTGCGAGTACATTTGATCTTTAAACAAAGTGGGCTTGTTGGTCTAAATGAGGTGTGGTCAGGCACATTGTTTGTCCATAAAAATATCAATACATTTCTGTATCAGAAATCTGTTGACCTAAATAAATAAATTGATCTGTCAAATCACAAATCATGTCATTGATCGCAGGTTTTCCTAAAAAGTGACCGTGTCTCCCGGATGGTGCAAAGCGGCGGATGTTCTGCCAGCGACTCTAGGGAAGTTTTTAAGAAGCACATAGAGAAGCGGGTGCGCAGCCTGCCTGAGATTGATGGCCTCAGTAAAGAGACGGTGCTGAGCTCCTGGATTGCCAAGTTTGACACCATCTACCGTGGTGAAGAGGACCCCAGGAAGCACCAGCAGAGAATGACAGCCAGTGCTGCTTCCGAGCTCATCCTCAGCAAAGACCAGCTCTATGAGATGTTTCAGCAGATCCTGGGCATCAAGAAGTTCGAGCACCAACTCCTTTACAATGCCTGCCAGGTGAGTCTCGTTTCGATTTTTACATTACAAACTGGCATAGTTTTCATTGTAGCTGTTTTATCTTCATTATATGTCGGTCACATTGGGCTGGGACAGTTCATGTTCTCTGGCACAGGAATATTTGATTCTGCCTATGAAGCTGTGAATGGCTCTTTTGTTTTACTGTTGAGGGAAGCAGGGTCCTGTGAGCCGGATTTGCGCTTAACGGGGTAAATTCAGGGTTTCCAGTCCTACGAAGATTGTTCACTTCTTATAGGGGTACATCACCATGGTATCTTATGCTGAATGGCTAACCTGGTCCGGAGCAGGTTAAGCTTGAGATCAGAGATCAAACAGTATAAACGCTCCACCCACTGACCAATCGATTCCTTTGAACCATGACATCAGCGTTCTTACAGGATCTCATGGAGCTGGGTGTGGATTATTAAGAGTCTCTGAGGATGACAAAGGTCTTCAGAGACCCACAAAATAATTTGAGCTACTCTGATGAATATCTTTATGAAAGATATAGATTCTCATCAGAGGGAATGATAAAACTCTGTCAGCTGTTGGAGCCGAAGATAATCAACCTGATACGTAGGAGCAGCCTGCTCACAGTAACTCAGACTGTCGACATCGCTCTATGCTTCTTTACTTAAAGGCACAGTGTGTAGAATTTTGTGATATCTACTGTTGAAGTTGCATGTTGCAACTGAACACCCCTCATCTCACCCTCCCCTTCCAAACATGAAAAATAACCTGTGGTAATTTCAGTTGTCATAAAAACTCAAAAGGTGTTTAGTTTGTCGAGTCTGGACTAATGTAAACAATATGGCGGCCTCTGTAGAGAGGATCCCCTCAATGTAAATATAAAGTATTTAAATATAAAGGGCCTTTTCTGGGGTAAAGAAAACTACAGTTCATACAATTTAGATGAAACGAACTAGTGAAAACATCATGAGGATTATTCTACTTTAAATTTCTGCCAATAGTTCCCTTTCACCTAAATTTTACACACTGGACCTTTAAGTTACTGATTTTTGTGTACCGGGGCATTAGCGGTGGAATAACTAGACATAGTTTATCCTGTGAAATGAAATATTTATTTGGAATGGGGGATAGACAGTTTACAGATTTAACTTGTAACAGACCCCCCCCCCCACATAAATGACACTATGTTGTGCAGTGCACACTCTCCTTCAATGGAATGATCTGAGAATTTTAAATCAATGTCTGTTTGGTTAAGTTGACCCCCGACGCTAACACACCCAGTACATCTCAATCTCTCCCTGTTTCTAGATGCACCAGATGCATCCTGCAACCTAGATACAAGATGCGCACAGAAAAATAAATACTCTCATAAATAGAAATTGTAAAATACATATCCATTAAGGTGAAGCATGTTGAAAATTACTGTACTTAAACTGCAATTGTATGATTTGTATTTATCATTATGAAATATAGGTATTTTTATCCAAAAATATTAACTTGTCCCATAGTTTGCAGAGAGGGTTTCATGTCCTGCTGGCACTAACAATGTTCCCCACTGTCGAGAACACTCACACTAAGGACAGGCTTATAAAATGCTTGTTTGAATGCTGAGTTCTCAACAACAGAGAACGTTTGCATGTCTGCTGCTATAACCACACCTGTGTCGCTGGTTATTGCTTTGACATTCTCTGAATTATTTGCAAGCGGCAGCTGTAATGCCTGCCGGGGCTGGGTTCACATTGAACTCATTTTCCTTGTCCCACTAATGTTAGTGTCATTTCCAGTGTGTATGTTTTGTATTTATATAGCACTTAGCTTTGATGACCAATCAAAGTGCTTTACAGTACAGTTTGCCATTCACTTCATAAAGTGCAATTTCTATGAGGGGCAATTCGGGGTTCAGCATCTTGCCCAAGGACACGGTATACAGATGGGGAAGACTGGGATCGAACTGCCGACCTAGTTCGAGGACGACCTCTCTACCCCTTAGCCACAGCCGCCCCCCACAATGTTAGTGGGACATCACTCTGGGGATGTTGTTTCAAACGAGTTGGCATGTTCAATGTGCTACCAGCGACATATCCTATTGCAGTTGCACAATTTCGGCATACACTCGTCTATGTCCGTTGTCATTAGTGTTCCCACCATATACTGTGTATATATATATATATATATATCTATAAGGTTCCCACACAGCAGACTTAAATGATGTGGGAGGGTCTTCACACTACTGTCTGATGTCGCTATGACCATGAGCCCACAGCACATGCAGTCCTTCGCTACATTACAACTTTAATATGTTGTGCTTTATTTGTAAGAGATGAGATCCTCATTCTCATCACTGACATAGGTTTCTTTTTAGGAAAGTAAGAATATGGGTTGTTTCTGAACAAGAAACCTGAGGCTTTTTCTGTTGTGACAGTCTCATAAGGCACTAAGGCAGCATCTCTGTGTGTGATTGGTTCAATTCAATCTTTCAACATGTTGCAAGCAATAAAGCGCATAAAATTATTCATCTGCACAGTGCACAAATCTAACATGAGGAGAACAATTAGGTGTGTGTGTGTGTGTGTGTGTGTGTGTGTGTGTGTGAGAGAGAGAAAGTGAGAGAGAGAGGGGGGAGGGGTGCTCAGGTTTTGTGGCTAACTGAAAGCAGATACACAGTCTGAGCACAGGGAATGAACAATAAGACAGGCTTCTATACACAGACCATCCACTATTAAAGTGCCAGGTACTGCATCGATGGAGAATCTGTTGTTGGATGGAACATTTGTCATTAATATATGCAGAGTGTAATGGTAATGAGAGGGTAGAGAGCGGGGCTTTAAAGACAGATTGATGTGGTAATAATGGTGCCCAGTTGTGGGCAGCTGGAGACAACATACTATTTTCATTCAGTTTAAATGTATTTATTAGTTTTGATTTACTACAAATATTATGGTAAATGCCCACCACATTTTATAGTTGTGTTTGAATGAAACAGATCAAATACCCAAAGATGTTTAAAAGACATTCTCATCATCAAGCAGAGAGATTAGGATGTTTACTGGATATGATGATCATCAAAAATGGGTCAATAATATTCAGAGTTTAGTTGAGGTCACTGTGATGGGCTCTAAAACCAAACTGACACTTCTTCCAGATTTTCTGGGAAAAATGTTTCCAATATTCTGCTGCTTTTGTTTTTATAAATGCGGCATGAACATCTCAATATAATGCAGTTCAGTGCTTCAAATTACACAAAAAATACATTGAACCTCAACATATTTCAATTTGTGCATCTCTGACAGTGTCAATCAAAATCCATTATCTTTGTAAAGGTTAAATAAGTGGCCAAACTGATATATTGGACAGCATTGGATTTTACAGACCTGTGTATCTAATTACATGTCCACTGAGAAAATGTATCTATGGTGAATGGGACATTTTTGACCTTGGATATCGTAATTAACAAAAAACAAAAATCATCCTATTCTGCTTTTACTGTGAAATCATATTATGAAATCATAATAGCTGCTGAGCTTTGATCTCAACAGATCAACTTCCACAGCTACTGCAAACATCTTTTATTGTGTGATATGATGGAACGTTTTGGAAAAAACAGCCAATCATTTAATTTTATTTGCTCAAACGTAACAGAACTTAAACCACAGGCAGCATATCTGAAATGTGATCCAGGTTGGAGGATACAGTCACTCCTTTGAATGTGTGCATATGGTCATTGATAGTAATTAAAATGTATTTTGAGGATTGCAGTAAGACCACATGAAAGTCTATCCAGCCATTATCTTTACTGCTTACCCTTTGAAGGTCTTGGGGGGCAACCCAGTCTCATCTCAAAATGTGTAATAGCTACGTTCGTCCACCAGCTGATAGAGGCGGGGTACAACCTGGACAGTTTGTCAGCATATCACACGCCAACATACAGAGACAAGCAAACATTCACATCTATTCAGAGTCTCCCATCAACCTAACATATTTATGTTTTTGGATTGTGGGAGGAAGTCTGAGAAAATGCATGCTACAACAGAAAGAACATGCAAACTCCAGACAGAAAGACAGAGGCCCAACAGGGATTTAAACCAGGAAATGTATTGCTCTGAAGCTCTGAGGCAATAGTGCAAATCACCACAACACTGTGACGCCCCACCACATGAAAGTGCAGATGAATCTATAACCATCTTTGTAGGTGGTCAGGGACATACTGTGACCACATTGAACACAAGTGCAAATGCAATCCACACACAACAGGTACGTTGGTGGAAATAAAAAAACCCATGTAGTTGTTCCAAACCAGTGATGTAGCAGCAGCTAGCAACCAGTAAACACAGAAAGGGGTCGTCTCAGTCTTCATGCTTTTAAGACGAGGTCGATGGAATGAAGATGAAACCAATCATAGAACAAACAAAAATTGCACAGCTCCCAATATGGCTTTCATCTTACCACTTAAAGAAAAGCTCTGTAGTTGAAATTATTTACAGCAGTAGTGAGCACAGTAGTATGCTCACTACTGCTGTTCACACTGCTAACACATGACTGTGCAGCCAGATTCAAGGACAACATCATCAACACATTTGCTGATGACACCACTGTTGTGGGGCTCATCAGCAAAAATGATGAATCAAGGTACAGGGAGGAGATTGAACACCTGGAGAACTGGTGCAGGGAAAACAACCTGATGCTGAACACCACCAAACCAGGAGATGATCGTTGATTTCCGCCTGATCATACACCCCTCTTCATTGGTAGCTCCACAGTGGAGAGAGTGGAGGACATTAATTTACTGAGTGTGCAGATCTCGGACAATCTCACCTGATCTGGGCCCAGCAGAGACTGTACTTTCTGAGGAAACTTAAGCGAGGATCACTCCCCAGGAGTATCCTTAAAACCATTCTACAGAGGTTTGATTGAGAGTGTGCTAACCCTCTGCATCGCCACCTGGTTCTCCAGCTGTAGAGTAGCAGATCCTCAATGACTCCTCACACCCCCTCCACAAGCTGCTCACTCTTCTGCCATCAGGCAAAAGTTAC